AATGAAAATGAAGAGTTGTGCACGTCACACCCAGGAAACACATCTAGTGCCGTCATGCTTGTATGCTGCTGACTTACCGTAGAGCACCCTGTCAAGATTATATAAGGCTTCGTTGACATCTGAAGACTGGGTCCTGGCCCTGGAGCCCTGAGACAGGCTGTAGCTGAACTGGCTCTGAGAGCTGCTCTGCATCCCAGTGTAGCCGAAACCACCTGATGGCACTTTGAGCAGAGGGGCAAAAGAATAGGACACCAGGATGATAAAGACAAGAGTCAAAGAAAACAACAGAAGCAGTGCAGGAGGGGGAGTCGGGCAGGTAGAAAGTAAAATGGAATAAAAGAAAAACAAACAAATAATAAGGGAGGGAGGGAGAAACAGTGATAGTCAGCATAGCTCCTGCAAAGTCTGTGTGGATAAGCCTGCTGTGCAGCCAACAGCCCCAACCCTGCCAATAGATGTCCAAGCCATTGGTTTCACGTGCTAGTACAGGTTGCCTGCCAAGGCATCTAAAATACTGCACTCCAAAGTAAAATCTTTCTCAGGCCAGAAAGATAAATCTAATTCCTTTTACATTTTGTTTACTTTGGATAAATTCAAATAGCTGCTGAGGTCTAACGCTTACTTAAAGGCGAGAACTTGCTGGACACATCTCCCATGACAATAGAGTCCCGGATGTTCTCATCTGTGTAACTCCTGTTCTCTGAGCGCTTCCTCAAGATGACATCTGATGTGTGCATGCCACCTCCAAGCATATCCGGTCTGCGAGAGCCTCCTACAAGAAGGAAGGATATAGACATAAAGTCTTGGTGCTCTATCTATGCATCCCTCAGAACAGTTACTGACGTCAGTCTTACCTGGGCCGGACAGGTAGGTGGTGCTTGTTTCTGTGGTGAAAGAGCCACCTGCCCCTCTGTAGTTTGAGCTCAGGGTGGACATAGGAGAGGATGATGTTGACAAATTGCGTGTCACTGACCCCCCTGGGAAAAGGAAGTTCTGGTCCCACTTCCCATTGATCAAGTAATCTGTGAAACACCACAAAGCACGCCAGAACTGTCAACATGCAATCATATGAAATTCAGCATATAAACTGGAACAACACAGTGCCACTGACGTGAAGCACCCAAAACCAGGCTCAACCAGTCAACAGAGGAAACACCAGCAGCTTCAGGCTTACAGTTCCAGTCCTACTTGTGCCACTTTCAGGTTCCACAAACAGCAACAACAGCTTAACAAATGTTTGCCATGTACAAGCAACGAAAGAAATTTTGTCATTTGGCCAAAAGCAGACAATGAGTGTTACAATTGCAGTTGTACAAATTGTAGCTGTCTTTGTCACTGAATATTTAAACAATACACAGCAACAAGGAGAGTCTGCAGCCACATAAGTGATTCTAGTTAAATGCTAACATCAACTTGCTAGCAGACACACAAGAACAACGGTGACACACTGATATTGAACTATACTGAGCAGGATAATGTTTTCCAGGTTTATTATGATTCAATTTTTTTTTTGCCTGTACACTGACATGACTTTGTCTCCAGATCTAAAACTGTTGCTGCTGTTGGCATGTGGGAAACAACTGTGGCTGAACAGCTGCGCTTCTGGAGAATCTGCAGCCTACTGAATGTAAATATGTAAGTGACTTTCTACTAAACAGTTTCATGAGGTGCTTTGCATCTAAAAGAGCACATGGGAGGATAAAATCAAATACAGATGCAAGAAAAAGGGTCATCATTGAAACGGCCCTGCAGAGATGAGACCGCATTGAATTAAAAACCCATTATTTCCATACAGCCACACAGTAACTAAGCCTTTACACACACCCGACAAGCTGCCTCCTGATCACTACCTCCCCAGTGGAATGGAGAGCAGACAGACAGAGACAAGCACCTGGAAAAGCCTGCCCCCGATCATCAACTGGAGGTGGGGCAGTTGATGCCAGGGCTCCTCTCTGGGCAGGTGACAGGGGGACAGATGGGATAAATACCAACTAGCTGCAAGGGGACAGGGACTGAAGCTCCAAACTATTAAAATTTTTCTGAGTGGGTCCAATCACGAAAGGCAGAGAGAAACGTTGACTGCCTTGCCGGGCACGCCACTGGCCGTGCATAATAGCTGGCATGCTACAGTAGCTGTCTGTCTGCCTGCGGGTCTGATGGAGCGGTCTTCACCTGACAGGGCTGTTTGGGTGTAGCTGGGGTGGGGGGCCTCATCTGTGCTTGTCTCTGTGTCTGTGCTGAGACGACTGGGGATGATGTCCACCTGCTTTTTCCATGACACCGTACGGAGATCCAGGTTGGACCCCACCAACTTGACATATTTCCAGCCTTGTATTTGGGGTCGTAAGGGAGAAGCAAGCAGGCAAAGGATAGAATTGTACGGAGGAAATATCATCGATTTGTTTTACTATACATTACTTTACAAAGAAGCACATAAATAGGGTACCCCAAATATATATAGATACCCATAGGCATAGTGGTTATACTGATTTATATCACAGTCCAAATTGTCTTGGAGGTGAGCAGCAACATTTGTCTTCCAGAAACACAGAAATCATTGCAAAAAGCAGAAGAGTGACAGATTTAATGAGGAAAGACCTTGCAGTTTGTGATCATAAAACACTTCTATTGCAAATATATGGGGATGCACAGAAAGCAGATTTTGTTGCCTGGCTCGGGCACTGCCTGCAGGAAAAATGCCTGCCAGATGGAAGCAATAAAAAAAAGGCAGAGCCATGGGAATGATGCCATTTCTGAGCTTCACAACTCTTCCAGCTCATTCTTATTACCATTAGCGTCTTCAGGCAAAAACAATATAATACAAGAAAAGCAAGTGGAACGTAGAAGAGGCTTTTGTAATTAGATGTTGTTAGGAGGGGTCTCACATGTTGGAAATTTTCTACAGCACAGATCTGACCAACATTTTGCAGCACTGACTATTCTTTCTCCTTCTGACAGAGCAATGACACCACAGAGCATATTGCAAAGAAACACTTTGGCTACAAGAATAAAGCAAGATGTGTGGAGGTTCTGAGAATGCAGACTGAAATAAGGGGATCCATATTAAGATGACAGCTCACACTCTGGAGGTCTGGCATGCATCGGAATGGTGTATTTGCACAATACGTTTATTCTGTCAATGATTAGGAGCAGATTGTGATTCTGGTTCTGTGTACCCACCATCACCAGAGACGCTGGGTGTCTTGGAGGTGGGGGATTTCATCACCTCATTGCTGTACATCAGGTAGCTATCATACTCATCTCCTGCCTCAGCATCCACAATAGGGATGTCTGGAATGATGGGAACTAGGAACAGAAAAAAGTGAAATAAATCTCTTTTCATGGAAACAAAAGCTCAGTATATTGACTGTAAGTGAGAGAGTTGTTTGTTCCTGACTTACTGGACAAAGGTCTGGCAGGCTGTGATGCCAGGTTGATGGTAGCATCTCTGAAGGGGCCCCAGCCCACACTATTCTGCGCACGGACCTTGTACTGGTAGGTCTGGGCGTTCTGGAGGTTCTCAATCAACAGCATTCGCTTCTTGGGATTGTCAATCTTCACTTTCTTAGCTGGTCCCATAGGCTCTGTGAGCAGAGGATCAGGGTAGAATGAAAATGTACATAAAGCAGCCATGTGTACAGTTTACCTTTTTTAGGTGGGAACCAGCATCTTACTCTGTTCATCATCGATGGGTGTGTAGATGACCTCATAAGCTGTGATGTTGCCGTTGGTTTCTGCAGGTTCTGCCCAGCTGACCTGAGTGACAGTTGGACTGATGACATTGAAGGCCAGACGACCAGGTTCACCAGGCACTGAACGAAAACAGAACAGGCGCTGTCAGTCAGTCCAAATCGGCCTAAGTGTTTACTTAGTACAGTACTCCTTAAAATGACTTGCACCATACAAACTAGTTCTTACATTTGTTGGCAATTATTTTGTAATTAGTTCTTATTAAATATTTACACCCAGTAACCGCGTAACTGTAGCTATATGAACCTCAACACTGATAAAGCTAACATCAGCCTGACCTGTTAGGAGTGAAGAGTGAATAAATGGTAACCTGAAAATGGTTAACATATGTGCCTTGGCTCATAAAATGCTGATTAATCATATTATGAAGTGGAAAAATATTCAAATACAGACATATCACAAAATAACATTCCTCAAATTACAAAATGTTGTATATTGACGTTATAATGGAATAACCTGATTTTTCTAGTTACACACCCACACAATTTTAACAGTTTAATCTGAACCAGTTCAATTTGACTTTATGTCCTGCAGAGGCTTTCATGAACTGTAGTGAACTGAAGTCACAGTAATTACCATCCTCCAGAGTTTGACAGGTAACAATGTTGGTATTGTGACCATCTCCCATGGCGTTGTAGGCACACACTCGCATCTCATAGTCACAATAGGGGTACAGGTTGGTTAACTCAGCTTGAGGAGTCTTCACATCTAAGACCTGGCCATCTTTCTCTGGGTCACCATAAATCCAGTACTTCACCTAAGATGTAAAAAGAGCCAGAAGATCAACAGTTGAGAAATGTAATATCCACTGTAAATGATGTGCATCAACTCAAGTTGGAGCTTCTGATCATTTTCATTTGATGTACCTTGTACCCCAATGGGTTGCCAGGTGGTGGGTCCCAGTTGAGGCGAATGCTTCTGGGTCCAGTGGCTTTGGCCTTAGGGTTTGCCGGGGCGAGAAGATGACCACCAGGAGAGGTAGCATTCCGGTTTATGTAGCTTTTCTCCTGCATTTCCATCATTTCTGGAGATCTGGGACCTGCAGAAAGTGGAGGAAGTTAGACGATGAAGCGAACATTCACAAACACATTACCTCAGTTTTAGAATGATTACTTCTCATCATACAAAATCTGATAGACTACTAGAAATTCTAAAAATGCTATTTCATGTTGTCTTTAATTCCATGTTTTTGTGATAAATGATAGCCTCCCCATTGTGTCTCACCTCCACCTGTGACATTAACAAGAGTGGTCTTCCTCTCTCCAAGAGAAGCATTGCTACTTGGGTCAAACAGTTCCAGTTGGAAGGTCTCTGGCTGGATTGGGCCAGGGTGGGCTTTCGGGTCAATCACTATGTTCTTTTCAGTCTCTCCAGGACCAAATTTCAGAGGACCAGATAGATCAAAGCGCTGGGCCTTCTTGGTACGCCATTTCACTGAGGCAGGGCTGTCCTGGTTGCGCGTCCGGACCACAGGGATGGTGTAGGTTGGGTCAGATGTAGTGAAGGTCTGGGTACCCTTTTTGAACATCATAACACTGGGCTCTGAATAAAATAAGATCATGGAAAAAAGAGAAGAGGCCTTAGCAACCAGTGCGTTGGCTGGAAGCAAGGGTAAGACGCACTGATGTAATGACACTTGCATCATTTCACCTGGTACATCTGCAATGGTAACAGTAGTTCTCGGATAACGTCCCAGCTTAGCACCCTGCCGTGGGTTACTGAGGTCCATGACAAACTGCTTGACCTGTTTGTCTTCCAAGAGGCCATCCTTCTCACTCAGCTCCAGCAGGCGAACAGGAACTGTCTTCTGGGTCTCACCAGGACCATAGGTCAGGTCTCCTTCCACAGTAACATAGTCCTAAAACACATAGGAAACACAAAGGAAGAACAGGTCAGGAATAAATTCTCATCTACAACCAAAAATGCCTAAGATATAAAGATGCCAAGCTAAACTGAAGTAAATATTTAGCCTGCTCACCTTCTTATCCTTGGCTGTGAGGTCTCGTGTGCGGTAGGTGACCTGTGTGCGTCCATCCTCTATGATCTCTCTGCTGATTGGGATGTTGGCCACCCCATCCTGCCTGCTGTAAGTGTAGGCCGGCTGGAGGAATGAGAAGACACTGGTGGCTAGGGAGAAGCAAGGGCAGAATCAGTTAAGGCAAAGTAAAATCACAGTTACTTTTTTTCCCATTAACCTAGGTCACATATTTCTCACCATGCTCTTTTATGATGGTGATGTTGACCAAACGTTTGCCAATTTCTGCAATGCCCAGTGGCACATCCACAGCCTCCACCTGCAGCTGCTTCTTGTCATCGTCTTCATCCTTGACAAAGAGCGGCACGTGAACGTCTACTGACTCAACACCTTCCTGGAACTCTATGGCTCCCGCAGCCTCTGCAGAGGAAGAGCAAGTCAGGGTATATAGCAAGACTGTCGCTGAGGTGCCCTGGCTTGTGCAGCCTCAGTGACTGAGTGTGGTGCACTGGCCAAGAGGCGAAACCGGGTCGCCCATGTGGTGAGCGATGTCAAGACCACCAATGCAGACAAATCATATGACAAGACTGATCAAAATATAAGCTACTCCACACATACTGTACAAATAGTTAACACACACCTCTGTCTGTGGCTACTGTGTAGTATCCAGGCACAACTTTGAGGTCCTGGAAACTTCCAGACTGGACATTTTTCTCAGTGAGTTTGACAATATCAGGGTAGCTGCTGCGAGGAGCAGACAGAACAGTGTCCATGATGGTGTAGTCCTGCCTGAAGAGCACAGGAGGGGCAGAAAACATAGCCAGTAATTACCCATGAGTCCTTAATAAGACAGTAAACTCTGGTGTTGTATTGCATTGTATCAACATGGACATGAGCATTTCATTTATTAAGTATGCTGGTTTTGATCATATTCAGCATACAGCGTTTACATCCTACACACAGAAATCTGGTTATGTATATCTTTGTATACATGATCAAATCTGGCATCCTGGTTAATAATTGTTCATCCTCCTCAGCGGTATCATCTTCTTTATCTATTGATATGAATGTATTTTCTGTTTTGATGTTTGGCCACGTAGTAATTTTTCTTAAGGGTTTTTAGCAGTAAAGAACATTTTTACGACTTGTTCCACTGTAGACTACAAGTTGGGAAACCATAGCTTGTCCACTATTTGAAGAAGTCAGCATTTCCATGCTTTCTCCCATCTAGATTACTGAGTTCATTTACTGTAACTCTTTTAATAACAAAAGACAAAATTCCATCTTTTCATTGCTCCAAAAGTGAGATGCTTTCACTGCCGACACTGTCGTGCTTGTAGCTGTGCTTGCGCAGATGTTTCTGGAATGCTCAGAAACCTGGATAAGCCATATTCATACAACAGTATCCCAGTTTCTTTCAGAGTACTCCACCTAGCTTATTCAGGTTTCAGAAATCGGAGTATTATGTTTACATACACAACCACAAAAACAGGATACTCATGTCCATGTAAACTGATCAAACAGAATGTTACCTTTTTCCAGCATTTCTTTGCATTCTGCAAGAATCAAAACATGTATTGATTAGTAATAATTTGTGTAATTTCCATTTTTGTGTTAATTACGAGAATATGAAGAAAACATCTTCTTGCAACAACAGCCTCTGCATGCAGTGCAAAAACAGGTCTGTTACGGAGCATACTGCATGTAACGTATCTTACCTGAATGCAGTCTTTTGCACCTTCTGGGCTCCAGGAATCTGCTTGTACACCTCATTTAGCTGGATGGAAGAACACACACAGTATTAATACAACCATCATTTATACACTTATACACTTGCTCACCAATGAGCAAAAACACACTCACATTATCGGCCACCTCCTTGCGGAGCAGTTCGGCGTCTCTGGAGTCAGAGCGAGATAGGTTCTCAGAGAACAACCTGTTTAGTCGGACTGAGATTGGGAGCTGGACTAGGAATGACAAAACAGAATACATGTTAATAAGAGAAAAAAGTAAACAGAGGTTCCATAATTTAAACATTAAAACCTTGCCCATAACATCTTGATACCAAAAAGTCAGTTTACTGTATCTTACTTTTAAAACAATTTAGCACTCACTGGTCTCTTTAGGGTTGGGCTTTAACAGAGCCTGGGGGTGATTGGGTCCTCGGTGTACGTTATCTGTGACCTTCCAGCGAACCACATCAGTTCCTTTGGGTGGGCCAGTCCTCACCATCGGTGTGTCCAGATGGTCTGAGGTCAGGAGAGACTGGCGGAGCAAATATTCATCTTCCTTGAAGCCAACCATGCGACCTGCAGAGAATATAACATGCAGTGATATATTCAATGCGGCCCAGGTGGAAAGATGAAAACTTTAAAGCATTCTTGGCAGATGTAACATGACAAGCATCTTACCTCTCCTACAGCAAGGTAGCAGGGCAAGACAGCTCTGTGTTCACAGAAAGAGACGAGGCATTACTTCCATTGTGCAGAGAAATATCAAGTCATTTATGGGTCCAGATGTAAAGGTTTATACCTGCAAGCAGGTTTTGCAGCAGGCACAGAATTTCCAGCAGCAGAGCAGCAAAAGTGCCAGCAGTAACAAGAGGAACAGGATGAGGGGGAGCAACCACCAGAGGCTAGCAGGAGGACAATCTGCAGGCCCATCACACAAAGGAGATACAGTTGAAACATAATCATCGTACACAACACAAAGCATATGTAATCTATATCCAACCTGTCACTCACCTTTCTTCTTGAGCACCTGAATTTCATCTCGGTTTTCAACAGTGTAGTAGAATGTGCAGTCGTCATCCTCATCACGGAAACTGCATGATTGAATCTCCTGCTCCTCTGAAAATACACACATACACGCACATATGAACTCTTACTGTGTTTTTAGTCATTACTACTATGTTGCAGTGTCATGGAAAGAAGGTGTGGTGTACGTGCCGAGTGTATATGACTAATTAATTATGTGATGAAAGCAAATTGCAGTTATTTTGCTCCTTTTGTATATGCTTACGTTGTTTGAGTTCATCCACCATGATAATTTTGACGGGACACTTATCACACTCCTCTTTCTGCTTCTTCTCTCCTGTCTTCCAGGCTTTACACTGGACACAACTCCTCGTACCCTCACACACACCCAACTGGGCCTGGACAGGATACACACATCAAATGAAGGTCAGACTAGCAAGCTAAAACCATATACAAACATTCTGAGGTAGAATAGGAGGCATTAGGCGTAGTTCAAAATCAAAATAAAATAAAATGAAATAACAACTAGATATTTTGTCAGAAATGAGAATTTAGGTCAAGACATGCACTGAGACGTAAACACATATTTATGCATTACATTCACACACCTGGAAAAGTGGCTCACAATCTGAAGTCATCTCCATACTAGAATCTTGACACTCACAGCGACCGCATACACAACGACCTCGCCCATTGCAGACATTCTGTGACAGATAAAGACATGGTCAAATACCAGTTTGACAAATTACACTGACATGCACGGTAACGTGATAATCTAAAAAACAAACAAACATGGCTCTACTCACCCCATTTCTGTCCAGACAGGTCTGGTTGCTCATGGTACACTCACAGGCATTGCCCATCCAACCTTCTGTACATGCACACCGACCCATGATGCAAGAGCCACGTTCTGAGAGGAAAAGAAAGAATAAGATCTGTGTGGAAATGGTGGTGGAAAGGATGTCTAAACTCTCTATGCTACTAACATCATACAGGAAAGAAAACTGAGACAAAAGCAGTATTTAATTGAACAGTCCTTGAACTTGACACTGATTGATAAACTGATACCACTCATCAATATAGTATTAATCTACTGCTACTAACATGTCTCAAGGTGACTTATTTAACAGGTCAATAAAGCAGTAAAGAACATGGCTATTTTTAGTAAAGATCCAATATCTCTCATTAAATACCATCTACCAATGAAACTAAATGTAATTTAAGCAAGATTGTTGCAGTAATAACATGCAGTAGCAGTTTATGCTGCATTTCTGATCAAGTAATTTATAATTGTTAGACTAGAATGATAACAAAAAGAATGATGATTGTCAGTTTCATCATAATGTGTTATTTGCTAGATTGATTATTAGGCTGGAACATAAGTAGCACTACAGATAACATATTATATATAAAGTATATGACAAGCTCAATTGAATTAGAAGTTAAAAAACCTCTGACTACACCCTGGAAGTCATACAAAGAGAAACTATGTCAAAAAAGGATTCATGGAGGTGGTGATGACAACATTATAGCCATACATACTGTACATCACAAACCAAACACTGTTGTACCATTGCAGAGGAAGCCTGCGTATCTTGGACACTGGGTCTTGTCGTACTGACAGTAGGGTCCTTCAAACTGATCTCGGTTGTAGCACACACAGATTCCACACCCCAGGCAGTCTCCACGACCTGAACAGGGCTCTGTCATGCCTGGACCTATACATTGGTTGGTGTCCAGGGCTGAAGAGCTTGAAGAGCAGTTACAGAATGTACCAAGCCTGAAGGAGACATGCGGACAAGGCAATGAGAAAAACAATGTTTTAGAGTGATTTGAGCTCAGAGATCTGAGACAGTACACTGCTTGGAAGAAGTAAAAATACTGTGTTTTTTAATTCTTCATAGGAATAATAATTAAAAGTCTCACCAGCCAGGAGAGCACCGACACCTCCCACACACCAGGTCTCCGTTTCCATGGCATCTAGGTGCCTTATTGATGACAGTCTGGAGGACAGAGAAAAGTGACATTGGGCTGAATCTACTATAAAAAAGAAGTGTGAGTGAGTGACTTCAGCTTCATTTCTCATGTGTTTCAGTGTTAATCAGTGTCTCTACCTTCTGACATTCACAGGTTGGACAGAAAACTGAGGCCCTGACGTTGACGGCAGCATTGAAGGTGGTAGGTTTGACTCTCATTGTTCCCTCTTTTTCATTCGGATGCATCTCACAGGCAAGTTTCTCATCAATCATTCGCTGAGCTTTGAGACGCATCTTGAACTTGCCCTGGAGAATACACACACACACACATACTTGTACTTCTATATTTGTAAGGACAGTCATTGACATAATGCATTCCCTAGCCCCTTGCCCTAACCTTAACCATCAGAACTAAATGCCTGACCCTAACCTTAGCCTAAACCTAATTCTAACCTAAACCCTAAAACCATGTCTTAGCCCTCAGAAAGGTGCTTCAAAAAGTGAGGATCAGACAAAATGTCCTCACTTTCCACAAATGTCCTCACTCTGTAGCAAAAAAGCTTTTTGTTCATCACTATGTAGCAAGTACAAAAACAGACACAAACAATTTTAGAGCATGTGTGCACACTAAGCATTTAGCAGTATTAGTCTTAGACAGTTTTATACAGATTACAACCATATTGACCTTCTTAACTACAACTATAAAAGCCTATAAAACCTGACAAAAGCAACTGATTCCCATTGCTGCCATGAAAGAATAAATGTAAGAAAGTGGTAAGAATGAATAGATTGTTGACTATCAGCTTATAAAAACCAACATGGGGTCTTCTAAATCCATGAATATATGTTTGTGTGATTAATTAATTGTTTCTGTCTTGATTTCCTCCTTACTATTGCTCCAGGTTTGAAATCAAAGGTCCCATATTCTGCAACAAGTCCAGCGGTGGTCAAGAACTTAGCCTCGAAAACCTTGGGTCTGTCTTCTGCACGGATGCTCATCTTAGAACGAATATTCTGAGAGGACACATGAGAACATCAGTCAACAGAAATTTGATCACAGCCACTGGAAAAGATATTCATCCCCCCTGACAACTGTCAGAGGAGGCACTGGTTTACCTTAAATGCAACCTCCATGACCTGCAGGATATTGGATGAGTCTCCTTGTAGACGCCCGACCTCAGCGATGGGAAAATACTCTTTGAGTTTCTGCACAGAGGAGTACACAAAATACAAAAAATAGACCCATTACCTAAATTCTGACATGCATCTTGACACTATGGTGTCAGGAGCATAACTTCAGTGAAAGCTGAACAACTAAGGCCCACCAACCTCATAGTACGTGTAGGAGTGGTTGGTGACAGCGAAGATGGGGATGATGTTGTGTTTGCCCAGCAAACGGACCAGTGTGGGTATTGAAGGGTAATCCTGACTTGTATGCTCTGTGTATTTGCCGTCTGCATTCAGGTGGCAAAGCTCATCGTTTCGCGGCAGGATGCCTGATAGCACATTAACACCGTCGGCCTCATAGTGGAAGGCCGACTCGGTGGAGAAAACCAGGAGATGTGTGCTGTGGTCTCGCCAACCAATCCTCTCCTAGAAGGAGAATACAAATATAACAGGAGCAGGAGATACAGGGTTTAGTAGAGAATAAGGATATGTAGAAACCATTGTGGCTAAAAGAGACAATGATTTTTAGTGTTCTTACTAACCCCACAAACTGCTGCCTGCAATATGGCATCAAAACCCCCTTCAGGAGGGTCCAGATTGCCAGATATCTTCTCTTTCTGGAGCTCACTGGTGAAGAACTCCAAGTTATTGGTCAGCTTGATGACATTTTGGAAAGCAAATGGAGGGTCACTGTTTGGCCATGGCTCTTTAAGTCTGAGAGGTGAAGGACAATGGACAAGAAGAACAGGGAAGCGAGAGAGGGGAAATGGCACGTATGTTTAGATTACATTAAATTTGTGCTTGTGCTTAACTTTCTTCAGTGTGTTCATGTCACATGCTATCTCTTACTTGGAGGGTCTCATATCAGTCTGGGGCTCAGTCACTTTGTCCACAAACTTTCCAAAGCCGATGGTGTAGTCATCTGACAACTTTTCCACCAGTGTAGCTGCAGAAAATACATTGTCAATTTACATTGAAAGCTTACTTGACAGTCAACACAAGACACTGATGTTTCTGTGCTGCTCACCCAGATCTTTGCCCATCCTCTTCAAGTTGTCCAAATCGTCAGCCATGGAATTGGAGAAGTCCATAAGAATATAAAGATCCAGGGGGCCTTTGGTTGGAGCAAACACCTCGACATCCACCAGCTTCTCCTCTCCTGGCAGAAAGGTCATGCTCACCTGCTGTGGAAACACCTGAGACTGCTGAAGACTCATGTTGATTTTTTGGGCCTGAGTAGCAATGGAGAGAAGGCGCAGGGGAAAGTTCAGAGTTGACCACAGTATCATAAATATAAGACTAAGGAGTGATGGAATGACTGTAAGAGAAATAAGAGTGATGGAGTCTTACCTGTTCAGTGACTTTACTGCTTTGAGCTGTGATGATAGTTGCAGCGCCGCAGCCACGGGCGAGTAGGTTCTTAGACAGATCACAGCGAGAGCCAGTAAAGGTCTGAGCAAGCAAGAAGTTTGATTAGTGACTTCTGCTTTCTTGCAGAGCCTTCATTTAACATCGACATCATCATTTGCTTTATGTCAACTGTAAATTGAGTGTGAGGATCAATTCTTCATCAGTGGAGTTTTCTCAGTAGTTGCACATAAGTTTCATACTTCGGGTACATTATGACAGTGGTGCCATCTCCATGACAACTAAACAAGTTCCAACAGAGTAGATTAGCAAGAGGTGTGATCACATCTCCAAGAGATGAGTTGAACTCTTCCAAATATTATCAGCAGCGCCGTTGAGTTACATTGACTTGGCTGCTATCTTCTTAAATAAGAAGTTGAAATGAAGAGCAATAATTATAACTGTGAAACTTTAAGTTAGCGACATGTGTCAAAACAAAATTTACCATACAGCCTTTTGACTGTCTCTCTCAAAAACCGTCACTTTATTAATTAGGTACCTAGCTAACCAGCTAAATTAGCTGAGCTATCTACAACAACGGAACACACAATTAGTACAAGTCACTAAAAGTAGTAATTTGTTGATAAATCCTGCTGTTCTCTACAGAAAACAATGGATCTGATTAGGCAGTTTGGAACTATCTGAAGCTACATGAGTCATGTGACGCTGCTACTTTCGACCCATCAGTGTCGCAACTCTTCTTCTTAACAGGTCTGGTGCCTATCTTTGATGATGACACGGAGATGCAACTGCAAGCTCCTGAAACAGCTAGCAGGCTTACCTTGAGTTTTATGTGTGAAATTACAAATTGAAATTTGTTAGTTGGTTCATTGTTTTTAAAATGTTTAGATGTTAAAACAGTTGATAAAATATACAGTATCTTTTAGAATTTTTTGGGTTTGTAATGAAATCTGTTTTGTGGACTGAATGCTCACACTGATGTACCCTGGCTGTACATGTTAGCATGTTGCACAAGAGCAAAGTCCATCATATTCTATTTTGGGTAGATCCTTACCAGTGCCATAGCTCTTATAATTCATCTCAGGACAAAAAAATGTGAATCCAGGTCATGAC